CGGTTGACTACCTTGCCTCCGTCACAGATCTCAAGGTCTTTGGTTGCACCGTCGACTTTTTACAATTTGATACGCAAACCTACCTGGAGAACCCAGTTTGGGAAAAATTGCAGCGAAGCATGGAGTACTGCATCGTCTTTCGTGATTGTTGCGAATCCTCCCCTCACAGGAATGCCTCGAAGGGTGTCCCATCCACGACATTCCGCTTGCTGTCCATGTCCCCATGAACCCAGAGGAGATGGTCCCTGAGGGTGCGTTTGCAGGTGTGCCACGCCTACGCCACGTCAGTGTAGAGCCAGGCATCAGATTTGCGGGTGCAGAAGCTTGGCAGAGTTGTCGCCAGCTTCGAATCGTCAAGATGCCGGCACCGGTAGTTGGCATTGCTGACAATGCATTTCGAGGCTGCCAACTGCTCAACAGTGTCACCGCACCTGGCTGCCGGGAGTTTGGCTATAAAGCGTTTGCGGAATGCAGTTCCTTGCAATGGGTGTATGCAGCTGAAGGGGTTGCCAACCAGTTTAGTAGCGCCACCAAACTTGGGAGTTACCTGTTTCGAGACTGTATCAACCTCGTCGATTTTACCCTGCGAGAGGATTCTCCCCAAGCGGGTCGCCACAGCATATGACTGCCAGAGAGCTGGCGCAAGGCTGCCTCAGTGCTACGGGGATAAGTACACTCACACTCACGCAAGACTTCACAGCAATCGGTGCACATGCCTGTGACAATTGTCACTTACTGAAGAAAGTTGACATCTCCAATACGAAAATTGCAGAAATCCAAGAATTTACCTTTGTGCACTGCACTAGCCTCAGTGAAGTTAGTCTGCCCCCTACGCTTCATACCATTCGAGTCAAAGCGTTCATGAACTGCGCAGCCCTGGTAGAACTTGCCATACCACCCTCACTAAGGTACATAGCCAGTAGAGCTTTTTTGGACTGCACTGCACTCCGGAGGCTGGTCAAACTACCAGGCCGGCATAAATGGAGAGGAACATATGCGGAAGAAAATGCTTTCGCCATCTGCCCAGGGATGCGATGGCCGCCCTGGTTACATATGATCCCAGATGCAGGAAACGTGTCCAGATTGGCCTGAAGGCGAGAGCCTTCGCTATGTGCCTGGGTGAGAGCCTTAGCTCCTGTCCAGGGTAGGCAAGTGGCAAGATCGTGCGCCGCAGACAACCTGAGGATGCAATACATAGGGGAGTAACTTGCAGCCTCCACCTCCAGTTCAGGGCTACGTGAGAGACTCCGCACTCCCGAATGGGCCTATAGGCTCAAGTTGGCGTGTGGTAGCAACAGTAGCCATTTCCGGCTGTGGCGAAAGCAATGCCCAAGTATGGACTGCAAGGCAGGGAGGCAAGATCGTCAACACCGACTCTCACACTCACCACCCTGGCGGGCGAGGAAATACACCTTGCCATGGGCCCGCGAGAGTACGCCAGACTTCATGATTTTGAAGAAGCAGTGCTGGCGCAGCTCCCCTATCTAGGAAAAAGCACCACCTTCGGGTGTTAGCTGCAATTCGTTCAATTGGACACCCACCAAGTGTTGGATGAACCCATCCGGGACATTTTGTGTACCAAGCACAGGTTTTACGTGATTGCCCGGCAGTGTTTTGTAGAAGTACTAAACAAAGGGCAGATTGTGGGTGCCGCCAAAGCCATTCGAGTACCATTTCGCGCGACTGACAGAATACCACCTCAAGCCTTCTCCTTCCACACGGAAGTCCGACACGTTCAGGTTGAACCAGGAATCTGCATTGTGGGTGAAGCTGCTTGGAGAAGCTGCCAGCGACTGCAAGTGGTCCACCTGCCAGACACAGTCGTCTGCTTGGGACAAGGGGTGTTCAGCAAATGTTCTCTGTTGCGTGCTGTAATGGCTCCCGGATGCAGGTATTTCGGCATTAAGGTTTTCGAGGCATGTCGCTCATTGACACAACTTGGGGCGGCTCCACATCCAGGTAATCAGTTAGCCCCTCAAGCACAATTTCGGCCTCGAGCTTTTGAGAAGTGTACGGCTCTGCGTCACCTCGACATGGAACAGACAGAGCATAATCCCGCCAACCCAAATAGATGCCTGCCTGCATGCTGTTTCCTGGAAGCAGGAATTGTTTCGATCTCCCTGCCGCCAGATTTCAATTGGGTTGGGCCGGCAGCCTGTGCACGCTGCCAGCACTTACAGATTGTTGACCTGTCTCGAACAGACATAATTGAAATCCTGGGCTCGACGTTTGCGCACTGCTCGCAATTGCAGCAGCTCAGACTTTCCCGAAACTTGCGAGTGATAGAACAAGAGGCCTTCTTCCGATGTGCTTCATTGCAAGATGTCTACATCCCACCATCCCTGCTCTACATAGCGAGGCGTGCTTTTGCAGGTTGCACGCAACTCCGAGCATTCTGGAAAACAGGGAGAAGCAAGACTTGGAGAGGAACGTACGCCAGGATCAATGATTTCGATAAATGCGAGCAACTAGATAAGCCCACGTGGCTCCGCTTCTTACCGCCAAATGCCAAAGACCAGTGGAGAGAAGATTTTACAGAAGCAGCGCTCGAGGGCACAGGAATGCTTAGTCACACAGTGTCGGCGCAAAGCTTTCCCCTCCTACCTTCGGGTGCTCGCTAGCTTTCGACTACGGCAAAGACTCACTATCTCGGCCTCATCACCTACAATTTTGTGAGCCCACCGGGATGAGAGCCTTAGCTCCTTGTCCTTGGCAGGCGGGTGGTAGTAGAATGGTGAGGGAAGGCGCCCAGGGAGAACCTTAGTTACTCATCTGCGGCGGCCAGACCATAGCCAATCTTGTACAAAGATGGCGCAAGCGCCATGCTAGGATAGGTCTTCAGTGTCACCAGTCTCACACGGGCCTTGCATGTAGTTGGATGGTGTCGTTGCATGCGCACCATATCAAGAATGCATCACCCCCTTTGGCGCATGTGAGGAAGCCAAGGTGTGCGAATGAGACCTCCCGGATGGGAGGGAGGATATTGCGCTCGTCAGCAGTCCATTCGTTGCACTGCCCCCACTGCCAGACTCAAGAACTGCCTCTCACTTCGCATGTGCAATCAGTTGTATAGGTTGTGCCACGAAGGGGGAATTTTCCTTGGCCCGCCTGGCTTCTGCGACCCTTGACACCCTTGGCAAGTGTCAATACTGCTGAACATTAACCTTAGTTCTTTGCAGCAAGTCAACTCCGAGTGCCACTCGCAGTAGTGGCATAGAAGGACTCATACCCAGATGCATTGCTGCTTTTTCGTTATGAATTCAGGCCCTTAGAGTGTACGCAGCTTCTCTTCTCACCTGTCTCACCTCCGTACAGAGGAAACACTACCAGTTTTGATGGGGTTTTGGTTTTTGGCCTGGTTGTTTTTTGTTTTGTGGTGCCTTTTGGTGTTGTTGTTGTGGTGTTGCTAGTTTTTGGTTGGTTTCTGGGGTTTTACCTCATCATCATGTTGTGTTTCCTACCCTTCAATGATGACCTGGGCACACCGCCCACATGGCGTCCGCACTCGTGGAAAAAAAAAAGTGCCCTCTTGCACGGAGTTTGCACCGTCCATACCAGCGAGAAAGCACCCAGTGAAATTCGAGTAGAGGGGAAGTTCGACGTAGGCACTCAGGATGTCCAAGCCGCGACTGCCACCTTTCTAGCTGCCATGGAGCCACATTCGAGGGGACGGACCCACCCCCACGTGCCTGGTCGAGCACCATGGTGGCAAGGTGAGACGACTCAGGTTGGTCCTCACGTCGCAAAGCCGACTCTCGGAGGTCGAGCGAAGACTGCTCATCCCACCCTGTTCACAGCAGTGGACTCCTCTTCGGGTGTGCAGCCGATGGGTGCGCGAACCAGGACTGGCTAGTTGTCCCAGACCTGAGTCATCCCCAGTCCTGGCGCTTGCTACACACAGTCAGCAAAGTCGGGGGCACGAGGTTTACCGTAGGCAGTACAGTCCGGTACCCGCCAGGCAAGAGTGACGTGGCAAATAAAGCCAAAGACTACCACTTCGAAGTGCTGCGCAAAATCTACTTTTATGATGCCTGGCGGTGCGAGCCAGAGCTCAACAAAGAAAACTCCCTCCTCTACTTGCCTCCTGCACCAGGGATGCTCCAAAATGGCTGCTATTGGCGACCTGAGGAGATCCGTGGCGAGTGCCTCAACGGACACCAATCTTGCTGCGATCTAGTAGGCGAAAAGCATGGAATCACAGTTGATCAGAGATGGCAACACACCATGGAATATGTGGACGTGGAGGACATCAACGTCATCGAGATTGGTGACACGAGAGACAATGACTCAAGGCAAGCTGACAGAGAACAGCAGTCAGTGATCTATTTGAGTGATGGAGAAGAGGAACAAGAAGATCCTAGAGATGAGAATCAAACGGAATCAACAGCCAGGAGAAGAAGAACTGAGCGCAATGGAGCCAGTTGAATTTGTAGGCCTGTTTGAGAGCTGAACTCGCAGTAAGTCCTACAGAAAGTGAACAAAGGTTCAGCGAGCCTAGAACGCCTCGCTGAAAGGCAGGGTGTCAGACTTACATGTAGACACTCTTGACCTGTTTGCACACATGTTCAGAGCCCAATACCGCAGCGGCTTTCTCAAGCCAAGTGGAAGTGAAAAGAGCCGCTTCTACCTTTGACAGTTTCACGAATCTCTTGAAAGACAACCACCCAGGTTGTTTTTGGTCTTTGTTTTCAGCAAAGGATTGAGTTTGAAGACGCCGTTTGTAGATGGGAGCACATTCAGACAGGAAAGCAACGCAAAGTTTGATTGACATTGCAATCTGCTGTAAAGTGCAGCGGCATTTATGTATCGCGTCGCGGGCCAGTCGTACATCAAAGCACGCACACATCATGAAAGGACCCCAGTATCAGCAGCAGGAAAGGACCTCAAATCACTCGGGCGTGCTCGACCACCGCAAAGAAAGGACAGAACATGTTCAAGGTAGGCAGAGCAGGTTCAAGGGACCGTCGAAATGTTTTTTTGTTTCTGCCCAGATCCATGTGGGATTGTAAAATGGTTTTGCCTTTTGTTTGCTCGGCACTGTGTTTTCACAATAGACATGGTATAATTGCCTCAAAGCTCGGAATTGGAGGCGACTTGGCTCGAATCGCTGTGACTTCTTGTGATTCTTCCCGGTGATTGGCGATCCGGCAATTCCTTCATTCAATGGAGGTGAATGGAGAGAACGGTGAGGACATGTCCTCCAATGTGATTGATGCCACAGAGCCCTTGTGCAAGACAGGTGCCAAGACAGATGATCCCTGGACCGAGCGGATGGCGAAGCAAGTTCGACAGTGCCTCTTTTTGGTACAGTTTATGCAGCAAATGGCCTTCGCAGGCGTCATTGTGGACTCTTACCAAGTTGGAAGGCTCTTGGGCGCTTCGCCCGCCTTTTCGGGGCTTTTGGTCGGTTTGTTCATGGCAGGTGGCGCAGTGGGAACTTCTGCGATGACGCTTGTGCTGCATGCAATGCCAGATGCTTGGAAGCAACTCCGTGTTATTGTACTTACTTGTCAAACAATGGATAGCATGGGAGCTCTGCTCTACACGTTCTTCATCTATGTCGCGGTTCATGGAGAGAGTGGATCTGTGGGTGCATACCGTTTGTGTTCGATTGCACTGGTACGGCTCCTCTGGGGCCTCGGAAGTGGCCTGACAGGGCAGCTCACAGGGGTAGCCATCACAAAGATCACACCGCCGGAGGAGCTTCCAGAGCAGATGCAGTGCTTGCAGTTTTGGCAGACTTTGGGACTAGGCTGGCTGATGCAATGAGACAGTTGGTTTCTAGAGGAAAACTTTCCCAGGAAAGCCATGAGTTCTTGCCGGCAAAAAACCCAAAGATGTCTCATTTCGTGTCACAATGTGAGGCGAACGGTCTCAACCCCCAGACTTTGGTCAATTCAAATCACCTAACTACTTCAAGCCGACCAACCCAAACCTCTGGCACACCAGGCATGGGGCCTCTGATAGCAAGCCTTGCCATCTTTGCACATGGGCTTCTCATGAAGAAGGACGAAGCCTTGTGTACGACGCCTGGGGCGCTGGCCAGCCTGCAGATCTTCGCGCTCCTGACCGTTTTCCGTCATTGTCCTTCTTCCGTCGAAGCTTGGTGTCGACTGTCGTCCACTTCAAGGTCTCAGGCCTTCTGACAACGACCAAAGTTTGATGAGCAGGGGCCAAAGACTTACCAAAAAGACGATCAAAGAGGTGAACAGTCTCTCTACACAATATATCATGGTTGTCTTCAAACTAGCTTCAGGGAATCTCGTTTCTTGGATGTTGGCCTTGGATAGGGTTTTTTATACATCGACGGCGCGCGTGCGCGTGCGCGCGAGGTTTCTGGCACAACGTTGAACCCTCAGAAGCAGAGCCAGAGAGTTCAAATGCCCCTTGGCCAGTGCACACAGTGCACATGGGTGTGTAGCTCAAATAGGGAGACCTCCTAGGCACCGACACCCCTGGAAAGGTTCGGGAAAGGAAACAGACCAGTCACCCCCCAGCTGGTCGGGGGGTTTGGGAGGTCGAGAGCTATTTGAGCAACAGATGCGACATCAGACTTTCAAAGTTTTTTCTTTTTTGGCGGCTCATGACATGAGACAGAAGCAACTTCACATTTAGATCTTGGAAGGTTGCCCCCCAAAATTGTGAAAGTGTTGGAACCACGCCACTGCAGCGCAGGCTGTTTCTGTGCAGCTGCTTCCTGCTTTGTGCACTTCGTGGCTATGCAGTAGCTGGGGCGGAGGTGGGCACATCCATGTTGCTTGAAACCGCGTATGGCTGGAAGCGGCATTCCATTGGCCTTTTGGTCAGCGCCACGTTCCTGGCGAGTATTCCCCTGCGATCCATCTATGCGCGCATTCGGAGTTCCTTCAGCACGCTTGGGTGGATCCGCATCTTCTCTGGCATTGCCATTGGTGGCACAATGCTGATTTTTTCCAAAGTGACATACTTGCTGCCGGGAGGACTCCTACTTGTTCTGGCTGATTCGGTGATGTTCCCTGCTCTTTACTTGGCCGAGGGATTAACCAGGGGATTGATGATGCAGTTCGCCAAGGAGAATTACGTCTTCTCGGTGAACCTGTCATCGTTCCTTGCGATTGTTCTCAACAATGCGGCTCGCAGCATTGCACCTTGGCTATCCAGGCTCAACATCTCAGCCAGTGATGATCCGTCAGAAGGACAAGACTTGTTTGCCGCCTGTCAACTGACGTGCTGCATCTTATTTCTGATCGCCTTTGAAGCTGGTGTTCGGTATCTGTCGCCTCAAGCCGTCCGCCCCGTGATCGTGATCGGCATGCCCAGCTTGAATGAGGCGGAGAACATCGAGTCTCTGACTAGAGTCGTGGATGAAGGTTGTCAGCGTTACTTCCCCAAGCACCGTTGTCTCTTGGTCAACGCAGACTGCCAAAGCACGGACAACACATCAGCCATCTTTATGAATACCGCCACCCGTTGCCAAAAGCTGGCGTTGAAGACTGCATTGCCGGCGCAGGGCAAGGGTGCCGCACTGAAGTTGGTCTTTTCCTGCATGCTGGAGGTGGGAAGCGTGTGAAGTGGTTTTTTAACTGTACACTTTCTGACATTCATCACGACGTGGATGGCACCGCCTGTTTGGTATGTGGATTTCATGGTGATCCGAACTCGGAGTCATGCCATCCACGTCGATGATTCATTGTTCCAGGGAGTGGGAGTGTATGTTCCAATCTAAGTGAATCGATTCCAACCATGTTTAACAGAATTGTGCAACCAATCGGGATTTTTAGATCCATGTCTGGGACCCTTTTTGGGGTCCTTTCGATCCCACACTGGCGGAATGTCGCCAGGTCAATGCCGAGCATGGCTTTTGCATCGACACCGACTTGAAGACGGTGACGCCCGAGTGGATCCGGGCCTTCAGCCGTTCCATGGACTTTGACTTTGCCGCGCCGCGCTATCTGCGGCACCGCTTGGATGGCAACATCACCAACATGGTGATCTACCCCAGCATGTGTGCGGCGTTTGGCTACGATCTCCGCCAGGCCATCGGCGGAGACTTTGGCTTCAGCCGCCGGGCGGCGGAAGCCTTTCTGGCACACGCATGGCCTCCCAAGGTGGAGAAGTATGGCATTGACATCTTCATGACCACCACAGTCTTGAAGCGGGGCTATTCGGTGTGTGAAGTGGAGCTGCCACCGAAGATCCATAGCCCCAACTTGCCTAAAGTCAAGAACATGGCGCCTGAAGTCGTGACTGTTCTGCTCGGCCAGTTGGACACTGAGACTTTGAAGGGCTTGGAGTTGAAAAGCCTTCCACGGATTGCCTGGCAGAGTGATGGGCCAATGAGCATTCCTGAGGTCAAGGTGAGGAAGGGAGCAGATGGGTGTTGATTTGTTCTCTGGACCCACGTGCCCAATGAGTATACAGTGTCTACTGGTCTATTTCTCTTAGACTGGGGGTCGGAACGGTTGGGAGTTCGACCTACTGCTTGATGGCAATTGCATCCCCCACTGGAAGAGTGGTGGACTGGGCACTTGACTTGTGCAGCTCGTCGACTTGTGCTGCTACGAACTTCTCTTATGCATACGGCACATTGTATACAATCTATATACAGTATGAGACCAGCACTTAGAATATTGAAACCATAGGATTGATGAATTGGATTCTAACTGCCTGTCCCTTTATAGTAATATCAGTGGGCTTCCAGGAACGGTCGATCAAGACCAATCAGATCGACACGTGGAGATTCCTCGTTTCTGGGCTCGTCTCCGAGCCGAGTCGATAGATATGGGCTTGTATCCTGAGGGGGGCACCTACATCCTGGCGGAAGTCGGAGTTCAGTTTCGGAGGTTTCCCCAGAAATCGAACGGAGGGGTTCTTTTGGTATTCTATTTCATACACACGACACCCTTTATTTTGGAGAGCGGGGGACTGTGAGAGTGCAGTTTTTTATTTGCTTTTTAAACAGTGTTTGGTATCATTTGATGCTCAAGATATGCAAAGATGCTTGTTTTCACTCCAGGGCAGAAGATACCACTCTACTCTAACATGGGGCCTGGGTTTTGGTTTTCCCAAAATTTTAGGTAAATGCTTCAGTGGTGGCCCCTCTCCATATAAACACACATATATATATATATAATCTGTTCCTGCTCTCTCTATATGAACAAATATATTATGTATTCCTGAATCAGGGTCATTTTATTGTTTTGGAAGCAGCAAGCAGTCATTCAGATGGTTTTGAACAAAATAATTAGGAAAGAAGCAGGCCATGAAAGTGTCTCTAGATCTCTGCTTATGATCATGTTTAGATTTGGAAAGATTTTATATAGACGCGCTTATGTTACACAAGATTCTCTATAGATCTCTGCAGATAATCATTTTTAGATTTAAACAACTATATAGACACCTGGTATGCTAAAAGCTTTATTCTAGATTTCAGCCGGTAAGAGCTTGCATTTTCAAAGTTTTCCTCTGGATCTTTGGGAAAGTAGATATCCCATATATGTGTGTTTTCATGAAATGAAAGCTCTTGAACGAATACCATATTTATTGACACTGTATATAGTATATAGCATCTTTAAATTGACATGATCATTTCCAGAGATCCAGAGGAAAGCTTTTGAAGTGAAAGCTTTTATATATTTTTATTGTAGAAATGATCATCCACAGAGATCTAGAGGGAAGCTCTTGAATTAGAATCTTGTACATAAAACAAGTTTAATATGTCTATATAATATCCAGTGATTACTGTAAATCAACAAATCTAACTATTTACTTCAAAAACGAGTTTTAGTCTTGTTCCCAGCACTCCCAGGGCAAAAAAAAACTGTAAAACACGGGGTTTTGTAGCATGTGTTTTCTTAAACTAAATAGACTAGAGCTAGAATAGAATTAGGTAGAATTAAATTGGATTTGAGTTAGAGCTAAGATAGAACTGAATTAAAACCGAATTTCAACTAAACTTGTATTGAACTATTACTATAACCCATTTAAAATTAGATGAGAGTTGAATTAGAAAGGAATTGTAATCAAAATCAGAAGTTCGCCAGAATAAGATCTAAAACGCTTGAGCTACAAGATGCACAAGTCGAGGAGGCTTCGAAATTACAAAGCCGAAGCAAAAGCAACAAGCATTGAATCTACAGCTTACACAGATTCATAACAATTTCATGTATATTGGAAGGTATCATTATAGTTTCATGTCAAGCTGATTGGACATGCAATTGGCAACCACATTGATACCAATCAGAAGTTAATGCACAGACTTGTACATGGAGATTTCGACAAGGACAAAGGGAGTGGTGGGCTCAGACGCTTTCATTGTAAGAGCAAAGAACATATGCCTTTAGGTGAGACTTAGGCTCACATACTTGAAGGCTGAGCGAAATAGTAAGAACACAGATTGACCTAAATAGGAAAGCCAAAAAGACAAAAAACCTTGAGAAAACCAATAACAACCTAGGAACAGCCAAAAAACCAAATAAACCTTGGGAAAACAAAAAAAATAACGAACAAAAAAAAAAACACCAATCCTGGGGAAGTCTTGAGGAAAGGGGGGGGGTCCAGCCAAGAGTCTCTGAGATTTTTTTTGTGTTTTTTTTGGTTCGTGTTTTTTGTTTTTCCCATTTTTTTGGTATTTTTTTGCCTTTTCCTAGGTTGTTATTGGTTTTCTCTATATTTTCTCGAGACTGTTTGTGTTTGTTTTCCAGTGCAAAGGACATTGAGGCAGCTTTCACAAACACATAGCATGAATGCAGGCCACAGAGGGAAGTTTATAGCACATAGATGGAAGTAGGCAACAAAAACACATAAACTACGCACTCTGGTGGTCCCCTGTTTTGTTATTAAAGGACCCACATGTTTGTTGGGCCTGTCGGGAATCTGAACTCATCTCGACAGGTGGATCCAGCCGTGTTTGTCGGGATTGCAGAGAGCTACTTTGCTGAAAACCAGCAGTGCATCATGGCCCACCAAGCTTCCATGGAGCATGTCTTGGATCTTCAAGCCACTTTGAAGTCCAAGTCATTGGATATGGCTCTATGGGCACGAGTGCTCCATTGGGCACTGACGACGCAGCTCAACCGTGAGGCTGTTGTGAAGATCTTGTGCTATTGCTTCTTCCTTCGGGCGGCTCAACACTGCACAGAAGTGCAGGAGATGTCCAATGAACAGGCAGGTCCCCACTCTCGCGCGATATCGTCACCGTGGCCTTCCGTGTTGTTCCAGTGATGCCAACGACGCCCCGGTCAAAACCAGTCCTTTGTGTCAAGAACTTGCTATTTTCCTCTTGACGCACTCCTTTGTTTTCAGTTTCACCATTCGCTGCATTAGCTCTTGGGGGGAAATACCGTCCAGGCTGCCGGAGGAACTCCGGCACCATGTTCAGGGATGACCACAACATTGATTTTGTTTTTGTTGGGCTCAACCGATGCAGAACATGGTCAGGCTGAGAGGGTGGTGGCGATGCAAAGGGAAAAGCTAAGGCTTGTGGCGTTTGAAGCACGAGAGTGAGGCGTGATGGTGTGAATTTGCTTCACGTTTGTTGGGCCTAAAACAGACGTTTACAGGTAAACGTCATGGAATCTGGCTGAGATGGGAATGTGAAAGATGTGAAAGAAAGTAGCTTAGTAGCTTGCCATGCATAGACTTGAAACGACCCTTGAATGCGATGTAGTAGCCTTCATCGACGCACGTGAGAACTGCTGTGTTGTTTCGTGCTTTTTGTATCGCACGGTGCAAGCTTCAGATGGATCGAAGAAAAGATGCACATTTGAAGGCCTTGAAGGCGAGGCTTCCTGGTAACATCCCAGGCTTCGGAGCTCTAGACGCCCATTCAGTTCCAGGGAAGGTGAGCCATGGAACTTCGCCTTTTTCGTCTCCAGAACACGGTGGAAGGAACGCCTTAAAACCGCACCCCTTGCGTCCCATCCGCGTTTCCGGAAAGGACGCGGGAGCTGTAGAACAGCGCCGGACACGGAGGCAGCGAAAGCTGGAAGTCCTTGCAATGCTCAAACCATTGTTTTTCCAGAAACAGTGGAGACACACAGTATGGGGTTCTTGTGGTAGGAGTCCTATTTTTTTGGCCTAAAAGCTTGGATGAATTTTCATCGCCCTATTTTGGGCCACCAGGTTGATCTTAGGTTGGGCCCTATTGGCGAAGCCCAAGCCACCAGTACCATCAGTACCCGCCTGGCGCAAGCCACGAAAGCGACGCCCAGAACCTAAGAGCGATGGCCTCCAACCCACTAGCAAAGGCCTCCAAGCTAAGAGCGATGGCCTCCAAGCTAAGAGCGATGGCCTCCAACCTACTAGCGATTGCCTCCAAGCTAAGAGCGATGGCCTCCAACCTACTAGCTATGGCCTCCAACCTACTAGCGATGACCTCCAAGCTAAGAGGAACAAAGTCCTATTCCGCAACTCTCCATTCTTCTGAGACTTTTGCTTCCGCAACTATTTGGTACTTTTTGCCGCAACTACTCTTCAGAAAGTATTCTTCAGAAACTATTTTGGGATCTTCAGCAACTATATTGCGATCTTCAGAAACTATTTCGCAATCTTCAGAAACTATTTCACATCTTCAGAAACTATTTCGCGATCTTCAGGAGCTATTTCGCGATCTTCAGAAACTATTTTGCGATCTTCAGCAACTATTTTGCGATTTTCAGAAACTATTCCGCGATCTTCAGAGACTATTTCGCGATCTTCAGAAAGCTATTTGCATGCTTTAGAACGTATTCCTCAGAACTTTCACAATGTTGCAACCAAGTTGCATGAAGGAGCGCTGGGTGGGTGGGGGGTGGGTGGGTGGGTAGGTGGGTGGGATATTGACCATGCTTGTTTTGCGATCTGCAGAAAGGTTTTCGTGCAGGTTTGATGTTGCTCTTCGACCCTTTGTAGTTTCCGAACATTAGTTTCTGAAGAACACCGTAGAGTTTCCGAAGAAAACCACATAGTTTCCGAAGATTAGTTTCCGAAGAAAGCCGTAAAATTTCTGAAGAATAGTTTCCGAAGAAAACCGTAAAGTTTCCGACGATCACCTTTTGGTTTCCGAATAAAACTTTGACCAGCTAAGAGCGATGACCTCCAACCTACTAGCAATGGCCTCCAACCCA